CGGGGGACCCCCCCACACTTTTATCCCTTTGGTTTGTTCATTTTCCCCCCCTGTTCACGAATGCGTTCCCACGGTTGCCGTGGCCCGGCCCCCCGGACCCCCCCACCAGGGGGGGGCCCGGGAGGAGGGGGCCCCTTTCGTTGGGGATCGCGCCCCCCCCCCCCCCGGCGGCGGCCGGGGGGTTTTTTCTGGCGCTCGCTATCGGTTCGGCAGCGGCAGCGGCGGTAGCGGGTAACGTTTCTGCGGTTGAGAGGGGGTCATTTCGGTCGAGCGTTCTGAGGAAGGCGTTAACCCTCGCGAAGTACTCCCTGAGAAGGCCAACCCACGATGAGAGCAGAGTTCGTGCGTGGCGCGAGCAGAGGGGGGGTTAGGGGGGGGGGGGTGAGGCTCAAAAAAGGAGCTGCGTTGGAATATTGAGAGCTCGGAATGCGGCAACGGCAGGGCAAGACGGTAGAAGTCGGTTCACACCCACTGGGGAAAGCGACCCCCTCGAGCCGTCAAGAAACATTCGTGAAGTTGCGACGAGAACCCTGAACAGGGGTGGGCAGTTGGCATGGGCGACCAACCATCCGCCGAGCGCATCACATTCTTGTCCCAATACGCTATCTAGGCGAGAGCTGCAACAAGACTTTCGTCCAACACCAAAAATGGAAACAAAACGATCTGCTTATAAATGATCGATCGTCTCTCGAGGCGGCCTGCAGCACCCGTCGAGACTATTGAGCGGAAACGCCAGCGTTCGGTGCGGGCTAACCTCAGATGACGTCTCCCCTCGCAGATGTCGTTGTGGCCCCTGTCCGGCACCCACCAGGGGCGTCTCCTCAACGGCTCGGGGACGGCCTCGAATATCCCCTTGCCGTGCTCCCACGGCACCTGAGGCGCGACAACACAACACGAGGACACGGTACGTCGCGCATCTGTCACTTTCGGACGATTTAGTCGCTGCTGTTTCTATTTTGTTAAATGACTTTGAATCAGCGGTCACACCGTAGCCCGCTCTCCAGCGGTTTCGAACTATAAATAGACCACGGTCCTGCTCGAAAGGCTGGCCTGCCTTCCATCATGGGAGACACACCACAGGACAACTCCCACGGCACAGGATAACTCCACGTGTACCCACCCGTAGTAGCACGCTCAACACGGTTTGTTACAAAAAAAACGACCCGGCCATCGGCCACTATTCGAAAACTACAATAGAAAGAGCGAGTCCGACCAACCACACGTGCCGTTGCCGCTACGTACGCCATGCATTCCATACATCTCCCTCCC